GGACTTCTTCAACAAGATCACCTTGAAGGAAAGCATTGTGAACTTCCATCTGATAAATTGGCCACTGAAAATTGAAGGCAAGCGCTAGAATCGACCTATCCATGATTATTTTAACCACCGGAGAAAAAGTCTCCAAATAATCAACATTTTCTTGTTTATTGTTGTCCTTTGCAAACAAACATGTCTTATAACGCTCAACCTTACCAGAAGCATGGTATTTAATCTTGTAAACTCATTTGCAAATGATAAGTAACTTTTTCGAGGGTAACGGAACCACTGACCAAGTTTTATTGGATTCCAAGGCTTGAATTTCTTCTTTCATGGCTTGGTCCCATAAAGGATTGCGAATAGCTTAGGAAAAAGAGCGAGGCTCAAGAGAAGATAAAACCGAGGCCAAAAAAGTGAAAATGACAAACAAGATGAGAATAAGACAAAGAAGAAACTATTCGACAAGAACACACAAACTTATTGAGCTAGGAAGGTGGTTTAGAAACGCGGGATGAATGACGAGCGACCTCACTGAGGACAGGACCAGGTAAGGCAGACTCAAAAGGAACAAGCAAAATAGACTCAGAAGGCACACTCGAAGAAGGACGAGCACAATGTTATGGACTATTGCGAGCAGGGGCACTTGCTGAAATAGAAGGAAAAACAACATACGTCTCTAAAGAATTAAGGTCATATGACAAGAACAAAAATCATCATCGGGATAAATGGTTGAAGGAGGGAAAAAACAGAAGGTGAGTCATTAGGAAATTGAAAGAGAAAGACATCCTATACAAAACAAACATTACGATTAACAAAAAAAAAAAAAGAAGACTTAATCTCTAAGTTGAAAAGAACATAATCTTTTTGGGTAGAAGAATACCCCAAGAAGACAATGTATTATTCGAGAAGCAAACTTATCAGAACAATGTGGAGTGCTAGCATAACAGAGACACCCAAAAATACAAATGAGAGATATCAAGAGATTTGCGATACGATATTTCAAAAGGAGTCAACCAATGAAGCCCCGAAGATGAGAGTCTATTAATAAGATAGCAGGCGGTTTTAATACACTCACCCCTAAACTTGAATGGCAAATGAGAACGAAACTGTAAGGCACGAGCGACTTCCAAATATGCCTCTATTTTTGTTGGTCACACCGTTTTGTTGAGGTGTAGAGATGCAAGAGCTTTGATGAATGATGCCTAAGGAAGAGAAAAAAGGTGTACAAGTAGAGCTAAAAACACTCAGACCCATTATCTCTACGTATGGTTTGAACATCAATAGAAAAACAATTCTTGACATAAGCAAAAAAGGTTTTAAGATACAAGAGAACATCAGACTTTAGTTTCAACAAATACACCCGTGTTACCCTAGTATGATCATCAACTATAGTTATGAAAAGAAAAAAAAAACATTCACCACTGTGAGTAAAATATCGATATGGCCCCTACAAATAAAAATGAATCAATTGAAAAGGCTTAGCAACACGAGTATGACTAATGGAAATGACAACTAAGTTTATCTAGCCCTACGACATACAGAGCAGTTCTGAACACTAGACACATCAAGTAGTTTATCATGAAAGAAAAGTCTATTCAAATTAAGAACATGAGCATGAACCAAGCGGGCATGCCAAACAGTAGCTTTTATACCAGCAGAGGCCAAACAATTCAAGGAAATAAAAGTTAACAACTGATTTAGGGAAAGAAAAGGTAAAACCAGGACTTAAAAAAGCACACACATATAGTCCTACAAGAGCTCTACTAATCCCCATCATCTTTCCATTGGAGAGATCATGCAAGAGAAAAGTTAGGATACAAAAAGCACAATTTAAGTCTTGGGTCAATTTGGAAACTAACAAAAGATTATGAGTAAACTGGGGAAAGTACAAAACACATTTCAAGACTAGACTAGGATATAGAGACACAGCGCCCTTACGGGGCTATTTGGATGGTGGAAAAGATGATTACATGAGGAAAAGGTTTTTTTTTGGAATGTAATATTGTGTTCAAAGATTTCCAATAGAGTAATAAGTCATTTCCAACTGTGGAATTTTGTGGGTGTTTTATAAGGAATGTCAGATATTTATCATTTCTCATGAGTTTGGACTAAAATACCCTTAAAACAGATGAATTATTTTAAAAATATCTTTATCATGATAGTTGAAATAAAAATATATATATTTTTTATGAAGGGTAAATTGTAAATTTATCCTTAAATTGTTTTAGATTTGCAAAAAAGTCCACAATTATAATTTTATATGAAGTTTATGGTTCAAAATAAAATTAAACTTGTTTATCTTTTAAATTTTGTAAAAATTTATATGAATTTTATGAATTTAAATTTTATAAAGAAAATATATAAAATAAATATAATAAAATAATATATTTTCTATGATTTTAAATAAATATTTTCATTTGAATATTTATAATTCTACAAGTTAAAAAATATATCACAATAATAATTTAGTAAAATATATATAAACCAAATACAATAATATAATATTTACAGTAATGTGTTAGGTAATATTATATTTTGTTAATCTTATCCTCAAAGTTAATTCTACATTCCATGAACCAAACGGTCACTATGCGTAATTGGGGCAGATTTACCACTGGGTAAATGAACCAACTGAGAATGAGAAAGACATGACATAGAGTTAGTCAAAACCGAAAAATCTGATACAACGTGATTAGTGGCTACTTGGACGAGGAATAGAAGGAGCATTACCCACTTTGTTAACCACAGCATCATCAGAAGGTACACGATTGAGAAGATCCAGGATTTGCTTACACTGCTCAAGAGTAAAAGCTGGTGCAGGAGGCAAGGACTGCATCAAGGAATCATCAGTGGAACCAGGGATTTAAAATTACGGTCTCAGATGCATTTTCGGTTGCGTTGCGTTTATCGCGATTGCGGACTTAATGGATGCTATTGTGGTCACTTCGAATATCACGAACGTGATTTTTTTAAAATTTACACAACTTATTATAAAATATAATAATTATAATTATAAAAAATCACCTTTAATATTTTTGTAGAGCTTTCGAACACATATAAACTTCAATTAATACGTGAACATAATTTTTAAAAATTGAGTTCAACGTGGAGTGAGAGTTGCACAAAATTTTCAATGCAACAATTGAATATTACTAAAGAAACAATGTTTATTGAAGTCTTAAAACTACAGGAGAACAAATTATGAAATTAACCTATCAAATTCCCAATTTTATATACAAAGAAACATGAAAATAGAATTAGAATTTAGAAATATAAACAATTCATTATTTCTATTATCAATAATATAATAAAAATAATAATCATTACTAATAATGAAAAAAATAAGATTATTGCATAGAATAATAAATTATAAAAATAGTTTGTGTATAAAATTTAAATTGAAAATTCAATCTCACAAATAAATCTTAACTCATTTAAAAAACTAACCCATAAAAAATTATAATTTAAAACTCATAAAATTAAAAATAACTCATCTTTTATTTAATATAAAACATATGATACTATAAGCTTATAACCCAAATCTAATTAAATTATTATTCTGTTTTAGTCCAAACCCAAAACATTAAAAGTAAAAAAAAATATTTAAAACTTAAAATATAAATAAAATAAAAAATTATTAACTCCTCAAATCCCTTCTTTTTCTTCTATCGTGTTCTTGAGTGAGAGAGGAAAGACAGAAAAAGAAAGGTAGAGCAAAAGTAAGAGAAAATTAGGTTTAATTTTTTTTTTAAAACGTCCATTTGCTTGTTAATCTTTTAAGTTCTTAAAATTATTTTGCTTTCTATTTCGATTCCTACCGAAAATACTCAAATTTTTTTCTCAAAATTTTGCATATTACACCTAAAGAAAAACAAGAAGGAAGAAGAAGTTAAAGCAAGAAGCAAGAAATAAGGTGATCAGGCATGTACTTATTCAGTTGGATTATTTTTCTTTTGTTTTGAATGATTGAATCCTTGTTCTTGACTTCCTGTAATGAAAAAAACGGAAATAACGGTCCGTTATCACTGCGATCGGTCGTGTAGTTGCGGCCGTTATCGACCGTTATCGGCGTGAATCTGATTCACACCGCTATTTTAGACAATAAAGATAACGGACGGCACCATAATCGCGACACGGCCAATATTTGAATCTCTAAGTGGAACTCTCTTGAAAATAACCATCCGAAATTCCGAATTGACCAACAACGCAGCTTGAGGAGGAGTCAATCTTTTGCAATTGAACTTGAAATCAGGAGGAAAGCCAACCAACCAATAACAATTCGCACGTTTATGCCCCTTGACACCACAATTATCACAGTTGCCAGAGAACCGCCGACGAGAGGAACCAGAGACATTAGAAAGCATCATCGAGACCTCCAAAATAGGAGAAACCCCATAAAGATGAAGGCGTTGGGTTTCTTCCTGAATCAACCTAGAGTACGCCTGATTTACAGAAGGGAGGGGATGCATCAACAACAAATAACTCCGAATCGCTGAATAGGTATTGTTGAGCCCTCATTAAAAACCGGAACAACCCCTTGCTGAGAAACACTACAATCACACGTGGTAACTGGAACCAAGGCTAAGTACTCATCCCAAAATGTTTTCAGTTTAGAAAAATAAACAGAAATGATGGAATCCCCTTGTGTGAGAAAGGTTATCTCACGATGAAGAAAAACACACGCAATCCATCAACCTTGCACAACGTGTAAGTAATACTTGGGAAATACTTGGCATATGATTGGGCAGGAAATAACATTTGGGTTAATACTATTGCACCTGGGTTTGTCAAAACTCACCTTGCTCAACGTGAAGTAAGACTCTTCCACGTGCTTATCTTTTATATTTTGTCCACAATTAACCTTAATACAATTTTTAATATTTGAATCCAAGACTTCAACAACGATTTAGAGAGTGAATCTTAAATTTCACAAATTTTTATTATATAAATTATTTAAAAAAAAGGAAAGAAAAAAAGGCCCACAGAGGAAGCCCAGATTCCATTTGACAGTCTGTAGTCTGTACTAATCTCGTGGTCTCTATTTACTCACCCTCTAGATTCACTCTCAGTCTCCTCACTTGTCAGTCTCTCTTTCTATATCCCCCCGTCTCACAAAGATTTCAATTTTCCTTCTCTTAAAAATCCCATTTCGGATTAACAGTATTTTTTTTCTTCCAAGCTCTCTCTCATGGCTTCCATCATTGAATCTTGCTGGCTGGTAAAATTCCTTTCACTTTGGTTCTTTCTTCATGCTTTCGCCCATCGCTTGTTTTGGATCTGTCTTTGTTTGGTTTATATGGTTTTTGGGATGAGAAAAGGTTGTTGATTCGTTGATTATATTTGATTTGAAAGTTTTTAGATTTTATTTATTTATTTTCCTTTTGGATGTTCTTGGATTTTGACATTCGCGATTGATTCTAGACGGTAGGTGGTGGAAGTTGATGTTTACACTACAATAATACAATATTTGATTGGTCGGTGTTCTTGGCTTTTCTTGTCTCATATTTACTGATATTCATTTAACCACCATAGTTTGAATACGAACACATACATATTGCCTTCCTACATATGTATCAACGTATGTATACACATACATACATACATATGTATATTTATATCTTTGTTTTGAACATTACTGTCTTGGTTTACATAACTTGGATGATGATAGCTTCAGAACTGACATTGATTTGGGTTTTGAGTCCTGGTCACTGATTCACCCCCAGTTTTTTGTCGTCTGCGTTTGTGTGTGTGTGTGTATATATATATATATATATATATATATATATTTATGCCTGTGTTAAATCGTTTTAAAGCCATTGATAAGTATCTGGAAATGTAATCCAGGCTAGAGGACCTTGCTTTTCAATGGTGAATATGTGTTTCTTCCGAGTGATTATTTAGATCCTATTTTTTAACCATTTTCCCTTTTCTTTATTCACTGTAAATGCAAATTTGTCTGCTTGTTCTTATTGGTTTAATTCATTCACAACGAAGGATCTTTAGTCGATCTTTGATTGAATTTGTCTATTTGTGCTTATTCATTGTATTAGCCTGCATCAGAGTATCTTCAATGAACCTTTGATTTCTTCTTTTTTTTTCAACTGATTAAGCGCAAAATTATCTAAATTTGCATACTGATTTCACTTCTTGATGCATAGTTTGTTAATTAGTTTGAGAAATATCATGCTCGTACTACATTCAAAAGTGTTTTTATGTCATGTGATATAAGATATTGGCCCTCAAAATGTTGTTTTGTTTACCATGCAGTATCTGATCACACATTTCAGTGACTTCCAACTAGCTAGTTTGGGAAGTTTCCTGCTTCATGAAAGTGTTTTTTTCTTATCTGGACTTCCATTTATATATCTTGAAAGAGCTGGGTTGCTAAGCAAATACAAGATTCAGGTTCACTTCATCTTTGCTGCTATTTTTGTTGATGGTTATGACTTTTCTAACATACAAATCGGGTTGTTGTTCATGATGAAAAAATATATTTTATTTTTGTTTAATTCATAATAAATTAGTTTCGCTTGTAATTCGTGTTTCTATGCAGACAAAAAACAATAACCCTACTGCTCAGGAAAAATGTATCACTCGCCTGCTTTTTTATCATTTTAGCGTCAACCTACCGCTTATGATTCTCTCGTATCCTGTCTTCAGATTCATGGGAATGAGAAGTAGTCTACCATTGCCATCCTGGTATTTTCAGGTTCTTTATATGCTAGTGCTTTTATTTTCCTCAATTTGTACCTCATTCGAACATAGTAGCCTTGAATTTATTACTATCCGGAATATACCATCCATAAATTTGCCTGTGGAAATGAAATTATCGGTTTTGGGGTCTAATTGGTTACAATGTTATTTGTTTCCACAGGAAAGTGATCCTAACTCAGATAATATTCTACTTCATCCTGGAGGATTTCGTGTTTTACTGGGGACATCGTGTTTTACATACAAAATGGCTGTACAAGCATGTACACAGCGTCCATCATGAGTAAGTCCAAACATTAGGTGGTTGTACTAGTAAAAATTACGAGCAATATTATTCATGGTAGGTTCTTCTGCATGTGCTAATTGGATAATTACATAAACCATACAGATACGCTACACCATTTGGACTGACATCAGAATATGCTCACCCTGCCGAGATATTGTTCCTTGGCTTTGCCACAATTGTTGGCCCGGCCATAACTGGCCCACATCTGATTACTCTCTGGTTGTGGATGGTTCTTAGAGTCCTCGAGACAGTTGAGGCACATTGCGGTTATCATTTTCCATGGAGCCTCTCGAACTTTCTACCTTTATATGGGGGGTGAGTTCTGCGTTTGCTTATTGCTTTTACTTCATGAGTGTACGCAGTTCTATTGTTTTATCTTTTATTCATCAGCTGTGAAGTAATTATCCGTATTATCGTTTTTCCAGTTCCGATTTTCATGACTACCATCACCGTTTGCTTTATACGAAATCTGGCAACTACTCATCCACATTTGTTTACACGGATTGGTGAGTTTTTGGATTTGCTTTTTCGAATCATTAGCATGTTTCCCAAGGTTAGATCGTAGGTTATGGCAATTGCCACTATATTTGATTATTGAAGCAGGTGATTTTTTTATGGATCCCATCTTGTCTGTTTTTCTTAGACATGTTGATACATTAAGCTTATTTTGGTCTGATTCTTCTTCTTTTTTTCTTGAAGTACCTTTGCCGGACGCCATTTTTTCATGCACACACAATCATGTGCCGAGGGGTATGATAAATATCGGTCTCCCAACGCCCTCGTTAACACTCATCCTTCCAAATATAATTTTCTATCATCTGTTAAAATGACTGGAACGGTATAGATATACACGGCACTTCGTCACTAGGAACTTCTTTATGCCATTTGAACTTATACCAGCTTTATAGCATCTAATGCACCATCAAAAGTTTCAGTATGGACTTTGTTAAGCTCAGAAGAATTGTCTGCCTGCTCACTTCTATTTTATAAGAATCTAGATTGTTTTTCATGTTTTATTCAAGCCTTGTTAGGATTCATCATGTACCTGTCGATGTGTGCTTTAAATTTTGTAAATTCCGACAGGATATTTGGTACCGATAAAGGCTACAGAAAATTGAAAGCACTAAAGCACAACGGAGTTGAAGGTGGCAGGAAGCAAACGTAATGGTGAATGCTAGTTCAGGATGTTCACGGAAAAGGTCGTCATTGAATCTTTGCATGCGATCGTTGGTTTTCTTGGTTAATCTTTGTCCATGTTGATAGCCATAAGCTATGTGGAATCATTAGATATATTTTCCTTTCAACATTTTTACAGTCCCTTTCTGTGCTTGAACGAAGTTGCCGTTCTACCAAGGTAACCATTTGTTGTTTTCTTCTTTGAAATCATTTTATAAGGGTAACCATTGTAGATTTTGGAGGTTGAATGTTTGAATAATGTACAATTATTTAATATTTGTTGGTTTTTATGGGCAATTTGATGCATTCAATGAGATACCACACCCACACAAGATGCCCTAGTTTGGATATAAATGTTGAATTTGAAAAAGAATTTAGAGTTCAAATTAAATCATTATGCCGTGTTCTCATGCTGGCATAAATCTCCGTACGGCGTCCTCGAAATGAATGTGGATGGTGCTTGTCCCCTGTTCAATGGTGCTGCTGCTATGGGTGTAGTGATCAGGATGAGCGTGGGGATAGTGTTTGATTTCGTGATCCTACTATTGTTGAGATATATGCTTTTTAGCGGGTATTTGTCCGTGGTTTGTGACTACTATATATAGTCGTGAAAATATGTGCAAGTATATATAGTCAAACAAGTAATAAAGTGATGAGTGGGTATCGTATCCACAGGAATTGGAAGAAATTTATAAGCTTAATCACAACAATTTACTATTTCACCTAAGTATAGTTAGTGATGATATGTACAAATGAGAATATTGTTGCAAGATGAAATGGATGTTGTGGAAATGGAATAATGGTAATATGGTAGTAAATGGAAATGTCATGGCAAATTATATTGTGTTTGGTGCAAACAAAAGGAAATGTAAAGGCAAAACAAAATGTTAATGTTGGATTTGATTATCAAGACTTTAGACTCTTCACATGACAAGCTACTATGGGAATGAATGATAAGAGTTACTTAGGAAATTTAAGTCTACTTCTCAGAATGACCTTACTTCTATGTCTTATCTGCCCGACACAGTTTACTAGGAGTACCCTATGCTATCTCTAGTTAAATGACTCGATAGATTGAATGTGCTATGGGAAACCTATTGGCGTTAGCTAATGAAGGGATCCTATTTGTCTAGATAACAAGATATGTCACGGCAATACCTGACATCATTAACATCTAACCTCTCGATCACACACTACTCCTTTTAGTCGACTGAAATCCTAGCCTTATCTCTAAGGGTGCATTAGGCCTAGTTACTATCTAGAACCCCTTATGTGGTTTCTCCCTAGTGTCTCTCGAACACTAAGGATGTGTTACTTAGCCATTCTCTCGAACACTAAATAATCTCCTAAGGAATGACTACTCTCATAGCTCCTACAACCTTAAGGCATTAAACATCATAAACAAAACATATAACAACATAAAAAAACAACCATTCATTAAAGTTAAACTTAAATATCCAAAATGAACTCCCACTAAATAAGACTAGTTCATGGTGGGGTTTGAATGTTTCAAACACAAAGCAAGAAGTTAATATGTTCCTTACAACTCGAATGATAAAAATGAAAGCAAAGAGCAAAGGGAATGAGGAAAAGCCTTCGACGTGCACCGCCAAAGCTTCTCTCGGTCACCACGAACTATCTCAGCGAGCTAGCTCCTCTCGGACGCCTAGTTCGCCATTCCCTCTAGCTTGTCAAAGGAGGAATGCCACGACAATTAGGATAGGTAGAGAAAAAAGAGACCTTTTTCCTCCTAATTATTTGGCTTAAGGCGACGTGCGTAAAAGTCCATTTTCATGGTGGCTTCATATCCTATTATAGGGGAAGAATAAACCTAGGACTTTGTATTAAAATTCCTAGGATACCCCAAACATGCTTAATTCACGTGAGGGAGGTGAGAAGAGGTGGTAGTGGTCCCCTCCAGGCAACTGGCTAAGTACTCGACAAGATCAGGCTGTAGTAGGTCGTGGTCCAGCAAAATCAGCTGCAGTAGTGCGTGGTCCAGCAGGGTCATCTGCAGCAGTGTGTAGTACCCTTTAGGAAGATATATCTCCTCTCGAGTAGAGGTCACGTGAAGATAGAGACAGCTAGCTCTGAAAATATATTCTTTCGTTTTGTTCGCTCTCGAAATGCCAACCGAATCGGCATTTGCATTATGCTCAGCAGTCTCATCATGTCACGACACTTCCCTTTTTCTTTTTCTTGCTTCCAAATCCTGCACATCACCGAACAAGCACCTTCCCCATAATGCAGCACCGATTACAAAATAAAAATGTTGTTGTAATACCCCAAAAATTCAAATAATGATCAAAATGAAAATTGGGAAAGTTTGATGGTCAAAGTAGAAAATTGAGAAAAAGTTTAGGGAATTAAGTGATAAATTTCCTCAAAAGGATTCTATTCTATAAATAGATAGTTTACTCTTGAGAGTGGGGTTTTATAGAAATCATATTTTTGGATTTGAAATTTTAGTAAAGAAAAATTAGAAAGAGTTAAAGCCGGTAAGGAATCGGTAAATTCAGATCGAATTGGAATTTTACAAAAATTTGAAGGATGTTATAAAATGTTTGGAAATATTATTTAAATATTTTGGATTAGAGAAATTTGGTTTGAAAATGTGCAATTTTTCAGATTTAAACAAAACAGTGGAATTTAGTGACTAAAACGCAATTTTTGAAAATTCATGGGAATTTTCATAAATCAAAGTCAAAACAATTTATCTTTGGCTTTGAAAGATGATAAGGATGAGGTGTATAGGTTTTATGGTGAATATGGATTAATGGCAAAAATAGAATTTCCTATTGATTTGAATAAAAAAAATTCCATTATGTTATATTATGCCATGTGATGGATTATTTAATATTAGACTATCAATAATGGTGGAGCATTTTCAGCTTCTTCCTCATCCAAGCTGCCGTGGGTTTTCTCCTAAGGTAAGAGAAAGCTTCAATTCAATTTTCAAGCAATTTCATTAGGATTTTGAGTATGCTGAAAATAGAAAATTGTTATATGCGAAAAACGCTATCATTTGATACCAATATTGCATGATAATATTGTTAGTGTTCAAGTTCATCTTGAGTTGATGAAGGGGATATTGATTTCTTGTGTTTTATGAGTTATGAAGAGTTAAGTGATTTTAAAGAGTTGGTTGTAAGAATTGATGAAGAACCTAAGGATGAGGTTAAAGAAAACAGTTTATATTTGAAATTAGCAGTGGGTTTGAAAATTCACCAGAAATTATAAAAAATTTGGAGGTTATTTTATATATTTGTGTTCATATATCGATCTAGTTTTGTTTAAAAAAACGGGGATCAATTTTAAGGTGTATACAAAAAGATATGAATTTTTAACCAAGGAAAGGTTAGAAAAAAATCGGACAGCAGATTCTACAAAACAGATTCTGTTGGCAAACTTTGAAAATTCACCATAAATTGTACAAAATGAATTATAAAGAGTTCTTTATATGGATAGATTCATATTCGAGTCTAGTTTTCAACAGAATAAACATAATTAAATTCCAGTGTGTATATCAATACATAATATTGATTCTTTAAAGGTAATGCGAGTTGTCTGAATATGGAAAATTGATGGGTTCCAGTGTGTATAATTGATGTACTATGCTAGAAAATGTTGTTTTGGAAGTTTGAAAAGGTTTGTGATTTAAGTACAACATTTGTATAGTTGGGGTACTTAAATGTAATTCTGCTTTTGTAAAAGCATTTGAATGGAAATAATTTCAATGCTGGAATTATTGGTATTAAGAATTTAAGTGGTAAAATGTGAAGGACCATTTTGAGTAAATTGGAAAAGTTGGTTTCAATATTAAAAAGAATTAATAAGTGTTAAAGTAATTGGTGGTGAATAGTTTGAAGTATGATTATGGAATTTATTTTGGAAATATATTTATGTTAGTATAATACTAACATATATATGGGTATGAATCTATATTTTGTACAGATCGTGATTTATTCGGTGTTCAAAGCGATTCGAGTATAAAAGAAAAGGGTTATTGTGGACGGGGTTATTTATTGTGTGGAGGGGGTGTTAGTGGGAAAATGGATAAAATTAATTAAATAAACCCTAAAGAAAAACTAAAAAAATTAAAAAAAGGTGAAAAAGTTAAAAAATTTCCCTCCTCTTTTTGTCTTATTGTCGCCCATTCTCTTTTGCTTCAACCGTATAGTCATCACGTACCGGCTGCGTAGAGCCTAATCTTTCAAAGAAAAATAAAATAATCACTTAAAAGAAAACTGAATAAAATAGTAGCAAAGTAAAGTGTTATTTATCCACATAAGTATATCCAAAATGTAACGGCATCTTCAAGATGCTTAGCAAGTTTCGACATCGTGCAAGAGGAGTGAATATTTGTCATGCATGGGCAGAGCTCCTTGATAGGCCTTCAGATGTTGGCCATTGACTTTGAAAATGGATCCATCATCCATATTCTTGATATCCACAGTTCCATGAGGGTAAACACAGTGTACTTCAAATGGTCCTGACCATCGTGACTTCAATTGGTCCTGACCATCGTGACTTCAATTTTCCAGGGGAGAGCTTAAGCCTCGAGTTAAACAAGAGCACCTGCTGGCCAATATGAAAATGCCGTGGAAAAATCATTTGATCATGCCACTTCTTGGTTTTTTCTTTGCAAAGCTTGGCATTTTCATATGCTTGTGCTCGAAACTCTTCTATTTCATTCAAATCGAGTAACCTTTGCTCCCTAGCTAATTATGCATCGAAGTTCAGTTTTTTGATCGCCCAATATGCCTTATGTTCTAATTCCACATGTAGGTGACATGCTTTTCCATATACCATCTTGAAATGTGACATTCCCATAGGTGTTTTGAATGTTATCTGATAAGCCCAGAGCACTTCATCCAGCTTCGGTAACCAATCATTCCTTCTAGGGTTCACCACATTTTCTAGAATTTGCTTGATCTCCTGATTGGACACTTCAGCTTGCCCATTGGTTTGTGGGTGATATGCCATGGCAATTTTATATTTTTGTAATGCCTTGGCAATTAGCTTATTATCAAAATGAGAGCCTTCTTCACTGATGATGGCTCTTGGTGCTCCAAATCGGGTAAAGATGTTCATGTGAAGGAATTTGAGCATAGTTTTAGAGTCATTCCTCGGTGTGGAAATTGCTTCAACCCACTTAGATACGTAGTCCACAGCAAGCAAAATATACAAGTCTCCAAAAGAAGATGAGAACGGTCCCATGAAGTCAATACCCCAAACGTCAAAGAGCTCTATCTCCAGAATATTTTGTAATGGCATTTTGTGTCGTCTGGAAATGT